GAAAGTCCCGATTCGGCTCAAAACTAGGGATTTCAAGTTGTAGGCTTTTTTAGCTTCTTTAGCCTCTTTTACATCCATTTCAACGCATAAGAACCCACTAAAGCCGTATTTCTTCCCATACTGTGCATGTTTGTCACTACCATTTCCTCAAAGAGTCAATCTTTTATTTTTCTGTATCGCCCGTTTTCTCGAAGTGGTTTTACTATAATATACTTTTAAAAATAACACCACCATGTTTCTTCCAATCTACATGAAATTTTCACAGAAAGAAGAAAAGATGTAATACTAAAACTTTGTGTGATGAATTCTTTTATATATGGACGTTTTTCGTTGGTGATGTTTGGAGTGTGGATTTTCACTGATTTTTGGCAAAAATGAATGCTACAGGAAAAAAAAAATTAAAAATGATCTAGGACGTTTAGGAAAAATTCATCTCACAGATTTTTAGATCTATTGTTTGCCATAAAGCATGCAAAAAAAATCAAACAATTTATTTCCATGAAAAAATAAGTGTGGTATTAATTACGTAAGAAGTGTCAACAAATTCCAATATGGCCACATTCCTTACTATGCTTGTTATATGTGTGAATTTTGGTTATATTTGATCCTCTGATAAGCGAGATAGCCTTCAGCTGTTGCCCCCCCCCACCCCTCTTTAAAGTTTTAACCCGGCTAAAAAACAGAAAAATCTCAATGACTATCAAAATGAACGTTTTGAAGTGCTATGTATTGTCACCCCTTTTCTAATATGACTGTGAAAGCTGGAAAATCCCTGAAGACAGTGAAAATAAATACTCTGTCGCAGAATGCTGCGCGGCATATAACTCCAACAGACAGTATTTTACGACCATCGCTGCTTCTTCTTTCGTTTCGATAGCAGTTCGGATTGCTTTGACTGACAAAACCATTTGATTCACTTTTGCATTTTACGAGACGTAATTCTGTTTATGATCTCTCTCAATTTTTGTATACCTCAAAGCAGGTAATCTAAGTTTCTCTCTTTTAATGTGCATGTGCGGTACGTTCTAAGAAGTAGTTTTCACTCTCATACTCACATTTAACCTCACTTTTATTTCCCGTGTTCTTCCCTATAATTGTCAGGTTGTGCGTCATTATTTTTTAAGGAGTGATGGAAGAAAAGACTGAGAGAGAGAGGAAGAAAGAGAGAGAAAGGGAGAGAGGGAGTGAAAAAAAGAAAACAAGAAAGAAAGAAAGAAAGAAAGAAGGGAACAAAGAGAGAGAGAGAGAGAGAGAGAGAGAGA